CAAAGATTCATTCGATCCAAATTGTCAAAATTGCACAAATTTAGGTGTATATATGCTCTCTCTTGCTGGACTCTGCAAGGATGTAATATAAAAATGTATGTGTACATGTACAGCTGTGTATGAAGACAGGTCTAAATATGTAAAATATGAAGATACTTTTGCTAAGTATTAGGGCTGTGGAAGTTTAGCATTAATGTCAGAATGTATTTCAGTGACTGAATTTTCGCAAGCAGTTCTCTGACACTCAAACGTGAGAAGAATATGAGCAAAGATTGGTATTAGAGATCAACAGCATTCCTCCCAGAATTCACAGCTAAAGTCAAAACATTCAGTTAGCATAGCGGTTAGCAAGGAGTAGCTCCCTGGGAGCCAAAAAGTAGCTTGCATAACAAAGAATCGATTACGTTAATTCAGCCATCCAATTTCTCAATGCCTGTCCTATGCAGGGTCCCGAGGGCCTGGAGCCTATCCAGGAAGCTACAGGCACAAGGCAGGGAATAACCCAGGATGGGGCGCCAACCCCTCACAGGGCACACTCACAGCTACAGGCACAAAGCAGGGAATAACCCAGGATGGGGTGTTAACCCACTGCAGGCCACACACACTCACGCACACACACACACAGATTAGGTACCCATATCTTTGTGGGGACTTAACCATAATAACAGGTATGACGCCCTTCACCCCTACCCAGCCCTAGCCATAAGCATAAGTAACCAAACAAAATCCAAGACATCTCACATTTTTAGTTTTTTATTCCATTCACAGATTTTTGTAAAGCTGAAATTTTCCCTGAAAATGTCCCAACAAAGTGAAAATAACCCCCCTACACACACACTCTGGTCCATGTCTATTCTGGGGGCTACCATGCCCAAAGTCAGCTTGCGCAGACTCACCTTTCCCAAGGGTCTAGGGACAAATCAAAGCTGCAGCCACATTTCTCTTGATGCTATGAGCATACTGAACACTTTACAATAGACATTGAATAAGTAATGTGACATTTTCCCCACATTGTGGGGGCAATTTCCTCTTTAGGTCTCTTCTGGGGACCTGCCTGAAACAAGCAAACATACACTTAAAACTTATCATCGCAGTGATCTTATGAATCTTGCGGGGAACAAAAATTTAAGAACAACTGAAAAAGTTAACAGCAACTGCCATTTTATTTCTTTGACAAACAGTAATTGTTTCAGTATGTAAAGCTTTGTCCTCCAATAATCCGACCAGCTTAATATAACTAAAATGATCAAATAGAATGACTATTTACAACTGAATTTTAAGTGCAGAAGCTCAAAAATGGTGTAAGCAATATAATAATGTATGAATTAAAATAAAATATTTGTATATGAAACAGCTGTTATACTGAATAGATAAAAGAAATGAACTAGTGTTAAACAGCTTGTTAAACAGAACTGACAATATACACAGAACTGCTGAACAGGAACTCCCTGCTTCTTCCAGCACCTTAACATCTTACATACAGTTAGATTTTCTTAAGGGCTGTGATCCTGTTCTTGACAAAAAACAACAAATGACCAGTCTCAGTCTTTCAGAGTGCCAGTCTCAGTCTTTCAGAG